AAATAAGAAATGATTTTCTTACCGGTTTCCAATATTTCCATTTTTTTTCTCCCTTCTTTTACTTCTTTTTTTTTTAGTAATTGTCGTTGAACAGTCAACCCAATTTTCAGTTTATGACTACCAACTCCGTAGCCTTGTATTTTTGAACACAATCCAGAAGACAAAGTAACTCTTCAATCAAGTTTTGGGAGAAAATTTGCCTTCGTGGAGAACGTTTCGAAAGAACTAATACGTCTTTGCGTTAGGTGGGCATGAAAACCACGAAAACCTACCAACGATAGTCCTAACGGATCCATGATTCGTCTGATTTTTTATTAGCATTGCGCTCGGTGTGAGCCGTGGGCGGATTTCGTATGACCAACTATCACTTGGATTCGAAATCGAATCACCTCATTTGGAGGAGAGCACTCTATCCCCTAAACAACCACGGCTCTTCCATTTTGATATGTATGTTACCGGCAAAGTTTGTAAGTCAACATTCTGTGGAATGTCAAGGCGTTGTTATACCTAAACTAGCCAGTGCTTGAAAGGACTCTTATTTCTCACATTTTCTAAGCATTCAATGTAATGAAAAACCTGCAAAGTATAAAATATGTCTATGATTCGTTTCGAATGTAATGAAATGTAATTCAAACGCCTTTGAAGCTTACCATATCAGAGCAAGTAGATTAATTTTAATTTCTTCATTTGTATATGAAAATTTTGTTTCCCTTCATATGGCATGGATTCTTCAAGGCATAAATTTTGTTTTATCCAACTTTCATTTTCTCCACGCATCTTGAATACATTTATTTAATGGCACTCTCATTATTTTTTACGAATAATATTTAAATTATTGAGGAATGCGCGTGATTTACAGAATAGCCTTATCAGGATCTTTTTTCTTACTTTGCCTAAATATCATTTGTCATTCTATAGAATGTGTAGCTATTACATATAGTGTCTAGGGAAAGTATGAAATAATTCTCATATTTCGTGCTTGGCAAAAAGAAAAAAAAAAAAACAAAAAAAAAACTGGCATTCTATGCAATGTCATGGAATGCCGGTGTTTTATACTTTACCCCGGTAACAAATGTATTATTTATTATTTATAAGAAAATGTATTATTTATTGAAGGGGTAAATCATGTGTTATTTTCTGAATATAAATTCATGTATCTAGTTTCAAAAGTTCAATTTAGAATTATTAAATAATGTAATTTCTCTTTCCATCGAAATTAGATTATTCCATTAAATAATCAGCACAATTTCCCATTAGAAAATTTATATTTTTTCTGAATCTTTTTGTGAGTTTGCTATAAGAATTGCGATTAATAAAAAAATTAATAACAGTACATATTTTTACTTTTCAGAAGAAAATAATGTTTACTATTCCTAGAAATAAAAAAAAATTGTATTTTGCTAATAACCTGAAAGTTGCAAAAATCGCAGAATCAATTTATTCCAAATAAAGCTTCATATAACTTTTCCCCTGAATTCCTGTTTTTAATGTATGGGTAAATGCATATTTTGTAAACTCAATTCAAATAAAATTTATTGAGAGTAAATCAGAAAATTTCACAGTTAATGTTTTTAAATTTGTGAAATTTTTTAACCGATAACTCAAAAATAATTTATTAAAAACTTTTGCAAATTTTCCGATTTGTTGATTTCTATATTTTAATGAAAGAAATACAGAATCATTCATTCAGGGGATTATGAGACGGACGCGCTGCCTAGTTCGCTATCGAGGCTCGGTGAGGGGTTACTAACTGCTGACTAAATAATAATAATAAAGTATAGTGTCTTTCCATTTGTATAATACCAGATTTCAATGCATACCCATAATATTACTTATCTTTTATTCCGGAACTTTAAGAATCGAAGGGAAGATCAAAGACGTAAAGCGTTTTCCAAATTAGGAATGCCTTAAAACATTACTCTGCTCGAGAAAAAGATTTATATTATAAATATTAATAGTCTAACTAACAATAATTTTGTATAAATTGTTTTGGGTCTTTCAATCTTCTTTCTGCGTATCCCCAACAGTAAATAAATATTTCAGCCTCGATATCATTTTGAATTTTCTTTCACTCACGTAACTATGTAATATAGCGTGTATATAGTCATTACATCTCCGAATATTTTCAAACCATATTTTACTAAAGAATTAAAGTGCGCAAGGGTTTTACTAAACCGGGGACAATTAACTTGTATTTAATGGTGATCCTAAAGGTATATTCAAAGGTTTATTTTATATTTCTGATGTTATTGAAAAATGTGAAAACTGTATTTTTCATGATTCACGACGAATAAATCTTAATGTCTTTTTCCACATTCTCTTGAAGTTTCAATAGATCTAAAAAAATACAGCTGAAAAATTAAATTATAAACTTTCAAAAATTTAATTTTAATGTATGCAAAAATTTTTATTTGAAAAAAAAAAGTAAGTAACTTTAAAATAACACAGTAGTCATTTAAGGATTAAAAGAAAATACAACATAATGTGAAATTAATATTTTTACAATGTCTAAACAAAATAATAATTCATAAAATCCAAATTTAAATAAAATATAAAAGATAAAAAGCGTAATTTCTTAAATGTGTGCTCCGTATATTTTATAAAACAGTGTGTAATAACAATACTATAGACTAGTTTTTTACACCTTATCTATCAGTTATAAACCGGTATACTAGATTTTTTTTGTTCTTAAAGCTATCTTTATCATTTGCAATTCTAAGACAAGAATTTTGTTTTAAAATTTTAAACAGAACTAACGTATAGTTACTATTAAATTACAATTGACAAAAATCAAAGAACAAGCATTTTATCAGAGATCTCTACAATTTTTAACAATCACAGGTGGTTTATATATAGGGTAATCCAACCAGTGAAGGAACATTTCATGTATATTGATCAAGAATAAGAATTTGAAAGTTTTTCTTTAGCTTGGTTGGTAACAATAGCTTACTGCCAAACAATAGGAAGTCATCTAGCAATGTTTTGGATTACCTGGTCAAATAGACTTCTCTGGAAAAATTTTTGAATTTGCTATTATCTCTGCAACACTTTGTTTCGTTGAAAAAATTATAAGGTGAATGTTTGTATTTATATGTTTGGAGTGGAATTAATTGCAAGTAATAGTCTTATTTTTCTTACTGTGAAAAAGAGAATTCAAAATATAGTTATTGAAGTTACGTTTTATTTTTTAAAGCACCGTAGCATAATCAAGTATTGAGATAAGGGGGTGTTTACTCACTGGATCACCTAACAATGAAAAACCAGTGAAGGAACAAGTGTTCCTTTACTGGTTTTTTTTCCCAGTTAATGAAAATAAAGGAATTTATTTTTATTTTCTTGTACTTTTAGTCATATTATACATTAAAATTCTGTTTAAAAGCCGAAAAACAATTTCTAACCATTGAAGGAACAGGCATGTTCCTTCACTGGATCGCCAAACGATGAAAAACCAGTGAAGGAACAAGTGTTTCTTTACTGGGTTCTTTTCCCAGTTAATGAAAATAAAAGAAATTTTTTAATTTTCTAGTCCTTTCAGTCATATTATACATCAAAATTCTGTTTTAAAAGACAAAAAACAACTTCTAACCAGTGAAGAAGCAGGCATGTTCCCTCACTGGGAATACTTCCAGTGAATAAACAGTATTGTGTGAAACGTGATTTTACATAACTCTAGGATAAGCAATTCTGCTATATAGAGGACAACCGAAATTTTGTTAAGAATTGTATGAATAATTCCTGAAATAATTTCAGTTCAAAATGTTAATTTAATAGCTTAATTTATGAAAAAATTATAATTTATATTTATTAATAGGGTGTGTAGTTACATCAAATGTTAGGCACCTTAATAAACTGTGTTTACAAATCGAAAACTAATTAAATATAATCATAAAAATTTGAATAGAAATTTTTTTCGCTGGCGTTTGCACCAAGAACTCCTAATAAGCTATCATTATAGGATAGCAACGTGATTATATAATTTATAAAAACTACTTTATTATGTTAGAATTTAGAAGCAAGCTCCTCAGCAAAAAACAGAGTTAAACAGAAACGATACTCAATTTCTTCAGAAGTTTGAGAGAGAAATCCCGCAAGATATGTTGCAAATTTTTAACACAGCGTTGACTGAAGAGTCTAATATCGAAAATGTCCAAGAGCCTGTACTTTTTTCAATTTGGAAGAAGTACGTATTAAAAGAAGACCACTTGGTTAAGTCAAACTTAGGAGCTGAAGCTAGTATTGATAATGAATGCATCTTAGATATCGAATTTGAAATGAGTCCTCATGCTGATCTTCTCTTAGTTGAAAAAAGAAATGATTCTATAAGTAAAATCAGTACTTCTAAAGATACTCTAGATCAAGGGTGGCGAACCTTTATGCACCAACGTGCCATTTTCTTCAAAAAAAATTTTAATGAGGTCATAGACGTGCCGTCAAAAAATTTTCACCTTGTGATTATTGGGATAATAATAATACTAAGTACTATCAACTCAAAACTCTTTATTTACTATGAAAAAAAAGAAACATTTTGCAATGAGTCGTTGTTGTTGTTGTTGTTAATTTACGTCGCACTAGAGCTGCACAAGAGATGGATTTTCCTCAAACTTCAGGACACCTTTCCCCCGTCTATTTTTGAGAAACGCATTCTAGAAATGTTGGAAGAACCATTTACATTGGCCAAATATTGATGATAAAAAGAAAGGTCAAATAAGAAGGAAAACGAATAAATTACCTTTTGCACTAACTTCAGAGAAATGACAAAAATTTCAAGAGGCTGAAAGATCTAAAAAAACGTCAAAACAAAAAAATATGGAGAAGAAAAAGAAATAAAAAATACTTAAGAAAGAAAAAAAGCTTCAAGAAATAAGAGGAAAAAGAGTAAACAAAAAGGTAGTAAAATAATTATGATAATAAACAGCATCGGATGACACAATGATTTAGATTTGACTGTCAAATTATAAGAAAGAATGATTTTTTTTTTTGTATTTAACATCACTTTAATTTTATTGACCGCTGAATTGAGTCCGGTTCTTACTGTCCAGTTTAGTTATGTCCAAACATTGGTCATAATCTCCAAAGTCACTCAATGTACCATCTAGTATACCAGAAGGAATTTTGGCACTTGCATCCAACACTGGAAATTAAACACAATCCTCTTTTATAATGTTTTACAGGACATTAGATGGAGAATATAGACGAAAAAGAAACGAATAGAGAAATTCAGATATGCAATAAACAGTAATATTTTTGCCTAAATACATATTATACGAGTAATGTATTAAAGACCAAATACTGATGAAATTCCCCTTTGTTTTGCGTTTATGCATATTTTTTTTTCCTTTTTAAAAATAATTTTCTAAATTTTTAGGGCTTTTAAAAAAAATTGAAATTTTTCGCATTGTTGAGCATATTTTAAGTTTTTAAAGTAAGTATTTTAAGTAAGTATTTTTTTTCTCCAGAAAATCTATAGTACAGTGGTTCCCAAAATTTGTTCTGCGGAACCTTAGGGTTCACTGGAAGAGTCATTGTGGTTCGTAGACTTAGAATTTTTTTTATCCAGATAAGATATTCGAAAGCTTGATTATAATTAAATCTTAGTAATATGTCCTTATTTATTTAATATTATTTTGGTTGATTTTTTGAAATTATTAAAGTAGAGTGTAAAAGAAATAAAATTGCAAAATGTAAAAGATACATTTTAGCGAAAACCATAATTCTGCTTCATTATCAGCATTTGAGCGTGCCAAAAACTAAGTCAGTACTAGAGAAGATGCTGCCCCGGATCCACGAATTCAACTATCTGACATAAAATCTTATCTTAAAAGTATCATTGATAACAGTAAATAAATTTCCTTCACATTAAATCTTTTCAAAGTAATTTATACTCTTTCTTTAGTTAATATGTTCGAAATTGTAAATGAACTTAATTATGACATCGGGGTTCTACTGAAAGAAGTTCTTCAAAAAGTTGAATTCGTTAATAACTGACTAAAGTTAAGAAACTAGCATAGTTTAAAACATTTTTCTACGGAAAGCATTTACTCCAATTAAATTACTATTACTTTATAGCTGTCTTCAGAACCCTTGACAACAGCAGAGAAATAATATTAGTGAAAAATATAAGTCACAAAGTTAATAAAAATTAAAATTAAAAAAAGCATCTTTTAAAATTATATTTTAATAACGAAAATTTTATTCTATCAAATTTAATTTAAAGACATTTTTTATAATACAAAATGTTTTAGCTTTTACCTCGATAAAAATCATTTCTGACAAAAAATTTTGATTTATATACTTAGGTTTTTTAAAGACCGAAATTAAATCAAGAAACCTATAATCATTTCATCTTACTTTCCTTAGGGGAAAGTATTGTTTAAGAATTTTCTAGCTCGTTCGGTAGTTAAGAAACGCGTGATAAATACTACGTGGAAACTGTGCCAAAGGGTCATTTTAATCGCTTTTTCTCAGAGGGTTTCCAAAGAATCCGGAAATCTCTTAACTCAAACATATCAAATGAAATTTCTTCATTTCAACTGTATAACATGGGAACTTGGTAGTGTGTTTGTATCGTTAAACAATCGTTTTATTTATTGCGAAATAGCAGAAAATGAATTAAAATTATTCTATTTGCGACAAAAGATAAAGGAGCGCAAGTTAAAAACCCTTGTACAATAAAGATGTTTCAAAATTTTGTCAGTTAAATTAGTAAATAAAAATAAATGCGCAACGTTTTTTTTAAAGAAAATTTCCATCGTATATTGCAGTTTTTTTTTATATAGTTTCATTATTGAGCAATATGTTTGTATATTATTTTATGGAAAAAAGAACTTAACAAAAGAATATATTAGATTAGATTTTAACTTTATCCCCTATGTTGAAACAATGTGTTGCTAAAAAAATGAATTAGTTAAGCTGAATGACATACTCGTCAATTTAAAAATTTCATTAACTTTATAAACAAAGTTAACAAAAAGATGCTATTGTTTGCGACCAACTCATGATAGTCAAAATTTACCTCTATTAAGTAAATTTTTCTGATAACTATCCCTTTCGAGGGGCCTTGAAATACTTATTTCCAAAGTACCGTTATTAACACTAACTAATTTTGACTATTTCTAAATTCAATTCGAAAAACAATGACACAATTTCTCAGAATTTTGTACAACATATAATTTTTTAATTGTTAATATTTACTAATAACATATAACTATAAATAATGTAAAATGTATTAAAAATTAATTTTAAACAAATTTCCTCACGCATTATTTATTCTTTTACAATCCTGTCATTCTGACTGCTTTTGGGTTATATAAACTAATTTTCATTCTTTCTAGTGTTAAAATTGTTTGTATTGGAGCAGTTTTAATAACGACCAAATACATCAATATAATATTTTATACCTATATTAGTATATTTTGTATTTATTACATAACCCTTCAACATTTGAGTTTTGCGCGAAATAGATTTGCCCGTAGCTGTCCACTAAAGCCAAAATTTAGTCAAAAAAAAGTATATATTATATATTAAATAATTGTATATTTTCAAAGAGTTGAATTCGTTAATAACTGACTAAAGTTATTAGCATAGTTTAAAAATTTTTTCTATAGAAAGCATTTATGCCAATTAAATTACTAACATTTTATAGCTGTCTTCAAAACCCTTGAAATCAGCAGAGAAATAATATTAGTGAAAAATATAAGCCCCAAAGTTAATGAAAACATATTTATTGAAATGGCGCTTTTGCGTTTCTTCGACCGAAAATAGGTTAAATCTTTGAAGCAGAATTTTTATTTAACATATTTTTCAGATTTTTTTTTTCATCATTCTGCATTAAGTTAGGTCAAAATAAGTGAAAAATATTATATTTAGCATTTTAACAATTTATGGTACTGAAAGCAGCTTAAAAAAAGTGTCTTTTTCTGCGTTTAAGGTAAAATCTTTTAATCGTGGCGCACTTCCGACAACATTTTTTCAAATTAGCACTTATTTGCAATTAATTGAGAAACAAGAGCCAATCATATAGAGATTTAAAAGTCAATAATACTGAGATCTAAGAGCCAATTTATCATTGAAATAGTCTTAATTAACAAAAAAAATTTTTTTTTTTACTTTTTATTTTAGTACAAATATAATCCCAATAACTTAGCAGATTTTTTTTAAAACTATTAAACTGATTTCTTATAATTAAAAATATTAAAATATATTTTTACTTGTACACAGAGTGTCAGAAAAAAATATATCAAAGGAACACCGGTGTTCTATCATGTTCAAAGGGTAAAAGCAAAATTTTGTACTTTCCTTAAAAATAGGAAAGCAAATTTCTTCAAATTTTTGGTTGAAATTTAGAAATACGGCAAATATGTTAGTATTTAAATATAAAAATGCATTAAAATTAAATAAGTTACTGAACAATAAATTCTTCATTTTCACTTCCATGACAATTGCATAAAAAGACCTTTTAAAATGTTTAAAATGATGAATAAGATGTTAAATAACATTTCCTGTAATAATGAATAGGCGACTCGTTTGTCAATTATTCTACTTTCAGACGATGAGGAAAAGCAAATGCCTCGGGGTTGGCCAGACTAATATTTGTTCCATTTAGCCCTTTCACGTGTTTCAATAAGTCTAAACATTTTGATATGAGTTCCGGTCACGTGAATCAAGCCGAAAACTGTAATGTTTTAGGCTATTTCTTACTCATATTAACACGTGATTTGAAAATTAAAAGAAGAAATGTTCGCAAATTGTGTCTTTAATTGTATATCGATAATGCGATTGATGGAAGATTGATGTAACATTTATACGATTGATGGAACATTTATGCGATTGATGGAACATTTATGAACAATATAATTATTATAAATTGAAATGAAAAACATTTTTAATTTCTTAACCAGTTATTGCATTGTTCTTGAAATATTTTAATTTAAATTGTAATAGGAAATTAAAAAATAAAAAAGAATTTTAAGCACACTTTTTTTTTAAACTAGATATTTATTATAGAAAAACACATTTCTGTTGACAATTGCTAGAGTGCTTTTTCCTTTGCAAATTTCTCCCTTTTATTGCTATTACTTTTAGAAACTACAATTACAACTATTATTTCCGTATATATATTTCCGTATTATACGAAGTATTACGAAGGTATATTTTCGTATTATATCATCGATAATACATTGATAAGTTATTTTAATCTTATTACAAATTAATTAGGTCCCGCAAAAAAAAGAAAGGCATTTTTTGTAAAATGTTCTTTTATAGCAATTAAGATAACAGTAATGGCAGATAAACAGAGAAACCGTTATTTAAATTGCAAAGAATACTGTTGTGATTTACGCTTAATATTTGATTCTTTCAATGGAACACTATTGTGATTTCAGTCACAATGGCACAGTAGTTAAGACACATATAGTTGAATATTAATATTATATTAAAAAATAACCTAATTTAACTATGATTTAAAGTAGATATTTCTTATTAAAAAGAAAACAACGTTTTAGTCAACTGTTGTTAAAAGTAATGGCAGCACTAAAAGAACACTAAAAGAATTTTTAGTGTTCAGGTTAACTAAAAATTTTTTCTGCGCATGTAGCCACATTTTTTATTCACTTTCATAATTTAATTTATTTATTTATTTATTTTTTGATTTTTTTATTTATTCATTTTTTGATTTTTTATTTTCCGCCAACGCATATTTTCAGGTGCATTAGAAATAATTTATGGGTCCATTGAAAAAGTTTCGTTTTAAAAGCAAACACATTCTTTATTTATATATACACAATTATTCTTTTCAAACAATTGCTGTCTCGTCGATTTCATATAAGATTTTGCACGATAGCTACAGCTCTGTGCTTAAAAATGTGTTTAATTTACCTCAACATCGAAACTGGTGGCAACTATACAACGAAACTCTTTTTCAGTGAAGTAACCATTCATTAAATTAAAAGGAATACCGTGATTTGCGTGTAATTCTGATTTATTTCGAAGGAATACTGCTGTGGTTCAAGTCTTACAGTATTAGAGGCATTTGAGACTGTTATGATGAAGGAATAAGTTGTATCCAAATTAAAGACTTCAAATTAACCCAGTGTCTAAGACTTAGACTTAGAGATTGGACAGCTCCAAAGAGCAGGACACATCCACCAGAGGTTTATTGTACCCAAAACCTAAACCAAAATCATGATTAACAAGAAGGCTTTATGGCTGAAATGAAAATCAGCAAACACCTGACAGGAATGTCCTGCAGCTCCCAGGCCATAATGCAATGTTGCTCTAACTGCTCAAATCTTTGAGCATAATAAACCTCACAATCATTAAGTATATGTCGTGAAGTCTTCTCTTCAGGATGACAACCTCTACAAAGAGGATTAGATTCAATACCCATTACGTATAACGTGTTCAACTCCATAGCCTTGTAATTTTGAACCTAATCCAAAAAACGCGGAAGGTCTTGGATCAAGCATTAGAACAAACTAGCCTGGGGATTTTTGATGATTTGACTAACCCGCATTTATGTACGTTACATGGAAAGGAAAATCACGAAAGCATCTCACGGTTAGCACGACCACAAGGAGATTTTAATCCATGTTTTTCTCATTTTTGTTTGACAGAATAAAAAGTTACAGGATAACGGTTTGTTGTTAAAAATATCTTCTGACGGATATTTTATTAAAGTAAAGGTCACTTCAACTCTTCTATAAGAAACTTATCAGAATTTTGGAAGAATAAAAAAAATTAATAAATTATTAAATTAAATAATTTGGAAAAATTAATAAAATTAAATAAAAAATATTAATCAAATTAGTTTTTTCTAATTTTTAAAAATTTTTAGCTTTCAATGTAAAAACATATTTAAAAAAAAAAATAAAGTTAAATCGAAGGTAATATTTTTAGTCTTACAATGCGAAGCATCCGATCACTAATGAAAAAATATTTTAATACGCAAAAACCTTAACATTCTTTAAAAATGTTTTGAAAATCCTTTATAGCAAATAAAAAGTTTTGCAATATTTAAAATAAATTAATAGAAATAATTGATTTTAAGTGGCATTTGTGGAAGGGGGTGTTTCTTATTTGTTGCAATCATCTCAAAACATATTAAAATTTTATATTTATTACCACTCTCCATAATAATAATAATAATAAATTTTAAATTGAATTTATGCAATAGACGTTTGCATGTTATAAAGTTAAGATGATAGTTCAATTAAGGTAATCATATTAATCATGAAAAATCATTTGTTTCCTTATTTATTCTTTTCCATTAGTATTCAAAGAAATTTAATATTAAATAATTCCCTTGAGCTATATTTAATGTGTATAAAATTTAAGCCTTATGAGATTGACTTATAAGATTGTATAAAGTGAGGCTAAAAAGCAAAAAAAAAAAAAAAAAAAAAAAAAACATTACTGAGGACTATAAATTTTGCTGCGAACACTAAATTTCATTCGAAACAAAAAAAATTGCAGAAATTATGTTGTTGAATTTGATATAGACGTATAGATTTTATTTTATTACATGGGTTCTATGTAATTGCAGTAAATAAGTTTTACTAACTTCCCTCAAGCTGCAAGTGCATGGAACTTGGATAAAAGATAAAAATACAATAAGAAGCAAGGAAAAAATAGAAATGAAAAACTCTCTTTAAGGAAGAAGAAATGACAAAAATGAAAAAATATTTTAAAAATTCATATAAAAATTTTAAAAATTAAAAAAAAAATTATTAACCGGAAAACAAACAAAACAACAAAAAGATATTATCTGCTCATCAGCTCACGCGATTTATCCGCAAATATATATATATATA